TTTTTTTTACTTCATCTTCATCTTCATCTTTTTCTTCTTTTTCTTTCTAAGGGAGAAACTTTATCTTGAACAAAGTCGAGGCCATGGTCGCCCATCGTTCTCGTTGAAACACTTTACGTTCTGTACTTTAACTTTTATTACCCACCAGCTGGATATTATTTTGGCTTCTATAACACCATGTTGTGGTGTGGAAACGAGTGCCACGCAATTTGTTGTTAGATCGTATAAACGCGAATAGACGAGCGGGTTAACGTTTAGTGATAGCGAACAAAATGATACTTTCGTGATTATGTTTAAACGAGAATATAAGTTTAAACGAAGAAAGATAGAAAGTAAAGGTTACACGTAATACAAAAGGTGTTCTCACAAACACAAATATCATCCCAATTTAATTCAATTTTTATCTCTATTATTTATTAATAATCTATTAAATTAATTTTCACATATACTCAGAATACAAATTGTTTAAATGTTGTTGAATATTTTACGATATTTCGTATAGGTATTATTTTTCATATTTTTAGTATCGACGTGTGTGTGTGTCTTTTGATTCGTAAATATATAAAATCATATATGGAATTTGGCAGGATGATCTATATAACATTTCGATTTCTAGACAAATTTTAGAAAAATCTTTCGGAAAAAGCGTAAAGTACGAAAGTCGTGGAATAATTCGGATCATAAAATTTGATGGATGGTACTGAGGAAAAGTGGTAGCTGTGAAAATACGTCAAAACATATGGCAGCGGTGTTAATAACTGTTTTACTCAAAATCAGTTTAACGAATTTCAACAAATTATTTCTTGAACAAAAATTTAATTTTTTTTTTTTTTTTTAACAAGAATAACCAAGACGCAAATATATTTTTATTTCAATGTTTGAATTCGATTAATAAAATTAACAAAAAGAAATCTATTTTCAAATTTAACCAACGTTATCAATCCAAAAGTTATCATACATAAAATACAACAAACGGAAAATCGATAAGGGTGTTTCCGTGCACAAATGTACGTAGTTTCAAACCGATCGAATCCCTTTAAAAGTTTACCTCGTAAAATTACTTCGGACTAACGGACATCGTACAAATAAACGCGAGGAATGAAGATCATTGGTAGGTACGCAAACGAATTTACTTGAAACTCGTTTAAAAGCGTCGTAACTGTAGGACGAATGGGTCGACCTTTCGGAACGTTATGAATTGTATCCATGAATTCCTAGTTGTTAAAGAAAAGTCGATCGAAATTGAGTTTAATTGGAAAATCATATTTGTAACAACTTGTATTTAAACGTATAAATCATTTTCCTTCAAAACCTTCGGTGATTAGATCGAATTTTATTCAGATTTCTAAAATGAAATTGCGATAAAAAAAAAAAAAAAACAAGAAATACTAAATAAGAAAAGAAATAAATATTAATAAAATTCACGATTATTCGTTAGAAATGTGTAAAGTGAAAATAAAAATAATACAAAGCCCTTCTCGTTGAATGGGAAATGTTGTACGGAATGACAGAGTGATTTAAAAAAAAAATCGTTCAAACGACGCAAAAAACATAATAAAGAGTAATATTGAAGTGTTCCGATAAAATAATACTCAAAATAAATTAAAAAAAAAAAAATAATATAAAATAAAATATTGTAAATAATAATAATGGACGTTTTTCGCGTGTCGCGGGACTCAAGTTTAATAATAATAATAATCAAATTTTCAAAAACAGCGACAGAATAAATTCTAGTTGCAATCTATAATAATATTTCTCTCTCTCTCTCTCTCTCTCTCTTTCTCTTTCTCTCGTCGCATGCGATTTCAAAACAAAATTTAACGATATATAAATCAAATATTATTATTATTATGATCGTAATTCGCATAATCGTTCCGATTTTATCGCGAGGGGAGGAGAACGAGACGTACAAAGTTTTTCTTTTGCGTCTCGTTACTTAATATAAATTGTGAAATAATGAAATGTAATCGTAAACCAAAAAAAAATAATAATAATAATGAATAAATGAATAAATAAATAAAAAGGGTGAAAAAAAAAGAAAAGAAGTGAAAGAAAAAAATATGAAATTGAAAAAAAAAGGTAGAAAAGAAAAATCAAACAAAAATAAAAAAAATAAAAAGACGAAAAAGAAAGAAAGAGAAAATCGGAGATCGTCTTCGAGATGATGAAAATTTCAATGATCGAATGAACGAACCTTCGAAATCTCCATTTTAAATACTCGTTTTGATCAATCAACAACCTTTTCAAAATTCGTCAATGGGACTCTTGTGATCGTTCATTTGCGATCTTAGACAATCATTTATCGCGTTTCGGGAAAATGAAAGGATTCATTTATTTTGTTCTCTCTTTTTATTTTTCATATTTTCTATTTTCTCGAGAAAGAAAGAATCGATTAAAACATTTCCGACGATGAGGATGAAAGACAAAATAAAATAATTTAAGGAAAAAATTAAAAAAAAAAAAAAGAAAAATTTCGAGAACGATCTTCTTTTTCCGATAACAACGAAACATAACGTAAAGTATGTTTTAATGTGGATTATCGTCAATAAAACAAATATCTGCTGAAATAAATAAATAAATACATAAATAAAATAAAAAATGAATGATACGAAAGAAAAAAAAAAAAGAATCAGAT